TATTATTATTATTATTATTATTATTATTATTATTATTATTATTATTATTATTATTATTATTATTATTATTATTATTATTATATTTGACAGTAAACTAATGTATAATTATTATACTAGGCATACTAAAATCGTATTATAAGGTAAAACCGTAAGCATACATAATAAAGTATAATTTTAATTTTGCAGATTATTTAGTATACCGCATGCCACCTATTATTTAGTTCATGAAAATTTAACAAGGTGACATCCTTAGCATCCACATAAATACTAATTTTCTAATAATCAGACCATTGCTTATTCTAAATAGTGGTACAAATTTATTTGGTTTAAAGCTCAGACTTATTGTTGTAGCAGAAAGACGTGTCTGTAACACTACATACCTTTCTTAATAAAATCTGGATAATTTTGACAATAGATCATCGAGATATACCTTACCAGAAGTGGAATTCAACCTTGAAGTTAGAGAATTCGTGCTGATAACGTGTTATAAAATATAGCTCAAAGTAACAATATAGAACAAGGAAAAACAAGCTAAGAGGTATAGAGAGAAAAGGGATGAGAGATTCTTATTTCTTCTTCAATTGTGTGTATTTTCCTATATATTACAAGACCTTTATATAAGCATGAAAAGTAAAGAAAAATATGTCATTGAATATATCATTAAGTATAGAAATATGTTATTTAATATGTTATTAAATATTTGAGAAAATCACGGAGGAAGAGTAAACATTCACCGTAATTTAATTTTTCTTATAAGAATCAAGAGTATATTTAGGTACTATTTTAAATATATCGCAAAGATAAATGACTTTTTGTTAATTTCTCCAGCCATATATTAACGTGGAGGTGTGGGACAGGTAAGTAAGGAGAGACTATTGTTGACTCTCTAATGAAGTGAAAAAGGGAGGACTGAGGATATCGGAATAGTTACCGGCGGCTTCTGTGGGACGGCATGGAAATCTTATTGGGCTTCGGACCCAGTATTCTTTCTCGCCCGTTATCGACATGCCAATCCAAGAGGAGATATTTTAACCTTAGAGCTCGAGCTAGTCTCAATGAAGGAAATGACTCTTTTTACCAGGCCGCCATTGAACGAGCTTCCCTTCGTCTCCGGGAGTCTCACTCTCCAGGCAAATTCCCTCCATTTTACTCTAATTCTTGTGTATACCATACATGTATTTGTATATGCATTTTCTATTCGCCTGCTATCCTTTGAGCTTCTTCAATGGCTGGGGTTATTATTGTCGAATTGTTTCTATGAAGCCAAGTTATCATTTATTTTTAGCTAACTGATCACTCGCCTAAGTGATGCGATGCCAGTGTAGAAATAGTCATACTTTAATGAATGCTCGTTGGGACAAGCTTACTTAGGCATGCGCTTTATTGAGTAAAGGTTTGTTGAAACTGGCTTGAATAAATAAAGAGGACTCGTATAACAGACTCCGCTAATTTGGGAGTAAAGTGTACTTGGTTGTTGATTGAATCACTTGTAGGAGTGCTTGTAAATCAGACAATCTGGAGAACTTGTGTCTCTTGCCAAAGCTATGATTAAACTTTGATTGGAAAAGGACAGCGTGATAATGCTTCATTAAAAGCTTTTTCAAAGTTATTCGAAAAGTAGCATCAATCAGCGGTCTTTCTTGTCATATTTTTGGGGTCTACTTCCTGTTCTTCATCTTCTTATACAGTAAAGTGCTTTTATCTTCAACTAGAATTCATAATCCTTTTACCACCATAGCTTATACGTGTAAATCAACAAGTCAGAAACTGTTAGGAAATGGGCCAAAAATAACTGAAGTTCAGGGTAAGATACTAAGATAGCTTTATGCATAGTTGCATACAGCTCAATGAATTCCAAGTTGCATTTCCTCAAGAACATCCTCTGAGCTCTGACTGATATTTACTCCAAATCCTGCTTATTTTTTGTTCAAAAGTGGTTGTTGTTATGCACAAGTTCTCTGAAGGATGTCTATCTCTTGCTTTCGCAGATCCTCTCCTCATTGACCCATATGTTGGTTGCCTTCTTCCTTCTAACAGTATGGAAGACATGAACCAACAGCTGCATCCCTACTGTCTTGCAACTAAGTTTATTGATGACAAGTTGCTAGAAACAATACAATCGTCTGATGGGCTGAAACAGGTATGAAACCACTGCTTACAAGGATCTAACTTATGACTTCTCACGACTTCTTTGGGTTAGATGGGCAACTACTCTACTGACGTGCTGCAGGCTGTTCTGTTAACAGATGGCCTGGATACGCGGCCTTACAGGCTCAATTGGCCAACATCAACCTTAATATTTGACATATGCCCTACACAAGTATTTAGAGAAGCGGTTCAGAAGCTTCAAGGTATTAACATCCTTCTCCTTTTTGTGTTGTTCTGTCCCTTATTTTTGGAAGTCGTGTGTGGGGACAAGTAAGTCCACGAGAAGCCATGCACAGCTTACACCATTCTCCATGTCCTCTAGATTTCTATTTATGAGATATGCTTTACCATTCTATATTAACTATGTCAACATTTGGTTCTGAACCTGAAAATGAAGCTTTCTAAAAATTATACCAGCTATAGAATTTGTTCTTCATTTTTCTTATTTGCATTAGGGGTT